AGGAAAAAACGTGAGGATCTGGAAACTGATTCCCTTAAAGCCATGCACGTCTGAACTTCCCGTGGAAGGCCTTCAGGTACCCAGTTTGCAGATCTGAGCTGTAGTTCAAAAGCCTCGTCTTTCAAGACCATAATCTCTGCTATGAATTGACAAAGCTTCCCTAGCAGCAAATGCCAAGAATGTGACTCTGATTCTGACACTGAGCTGTGCCGGCCTCCTCCAGCGATGAGCCCTGAATGCTTCAGCCTCATGGTCTAATTTTCATGTGGGAAGAGCTCAGGAAGGAAGAAGGGAGGCCCACGCTGGTTAATATATCAGATTATCATCCCTCTATGCTAATGATCTCCTTCTACCAAGCGCCCTAGTGATTCTGCTGTCGGGGGGAGTGGTCAATACTGCCCAGTACTGCAAGGAAAAGAAAGAACGCAGAGCAAAGGACAAAGAGGACAGTGTCGTCAGGAGACACTTGGGGGGCATGGTGGGAACAGAAGCCAGGCTGAGTGGGTTAGAGACTGATCTGGAGCCAGAGAGCACAGACAACATTCAGGAAGCTCAACTGAGGAAAGAGATGGGCAGACAGAAAGAGGCAGACCTCAGAGCTGAGGAGGGTTTGCTTTCAGGATAGGGAAAACTTGAGAATATGTGTGGGATGAAGAGAAGAAATCAGGAAGGGGATATGGAGAGACAGGGAACCAAGGAGCCTGAGAAGTTGTGAGGGGACACAATGAAGACACAGGGGAGGCACGAGCTTTGAATCGTGGAAGGATGCCTCTTCCTCTGAGGTGCTCAACAGCAGGAGCTCTGGAGAGAGTTTTGGTGGACACGGGACTGTTTATGGAGCTCAGATCATCTGACTCTATTTCTCTCGAGCTCTGGTGCCAGAATGAGAGGTAGGTGGCCGAGAAAGAAGACAGGGGAAGAGCGGGGCCCCAGGACCCCAGAGAGAACTGGAGAATCAGCTGTGGGGAGTGGCCTCTGGAGTCAGTGAGAGGTGACTCAGTGGTCAGCTAAGGCTGGTGGGGTGGGGAAGGGGCAGCTGGGCTTAGCTGCATGGATCCCTAAGACCCTGCTCTTCCAGCTGGCGGACGGCAGAGAGGTGAGCAGAGGAGGGGGCTACCCAGGGTTGGAGAAGTGAGAAATGTGGGAGAAGTTCCAGGGTAGAGAGGGTCAGCTGTGAAGTCCAAGGTCCTGGCCTGAAAGGAGGAAAGTAAGGCCTGGGCAGAGGGGTAGGCTTTGAAGAGAGAGGCCAGCCAACAGAGAGGTCAAGAAGACAATTCTGAGCAGGTGGAGGAGGGCGGAGTGGGAAAAGGAAGGAGATGGAGCAGATCTGAACCATCAGGATACATAAAGTATCCAGCATTGTCTGATAAGAGCCACTAGCCTCCTGGGGCCTTGTGCCTGTGACTAGTCCAAACTGAGCTGTGCTCTAAGTGTAAAACACACACTGGATTCCAAATACTTAGTATGAAAAAAAGAACGTTAGATATCGCATTGATAAATGTTTACATTGATTACTCATTTAAATGACAATATTTTGAAAATATTGGGTTAAATACAATATATTATTAAAATTAATTTTACCTGTTTCCTTATACCTTTTTAATATGACTACCAGAAATATTTAAATTACTCATGTGATTTGCATAATATTCTCTTTGCAGGGCACTGGCACCGATACTCCCTCCCAGGGATGTGGATTGTCTCCATCATGCCTGGAACAGGGCCCCAGCACCTGGAACAGGGCCCTGCACAGAGAGGCCTCAGTGATGGTGTGTGTGTGAAGTGGTCATTGGAGGAGAAAGTAAATTCATGGATGAATGAGAGAAGGGATGAATGAGGATTCTATGGCTGTTCCAGGACGTGGTCAGTTCCTTCTAAATTGCTGAGGATTATGTCTGAGTACACACATGACGGAAAGGGAAACAGAGGGAGTTAGAACTGAGGAAAGCTCACTGAGGCTTTGAGGGAGGGGGTCTCAAAGAGCATTTGATGGGACCTCACTTAACATAAGGGCCCAAGAGCCTGGTCCTTTCCCTCACCTTTTTTTTCCTTCTGAAAAAGTACTCCTGCAGCCCTTTAATACATGCCAGGGACTGTCCTTGGCATTTTGCATGTACTAACTCATTTAAACTTCATGTCACCCTATGAGGTAGGCACTCTTATTGTCCCCCTTTGACAGATAAGGAAACTAAGGCACAGAGATGGTCAGTAACTCACCCAGGATGACCCAGTAAGTGTGGAACTGGTATTCGGCCAGGCCATCTGTCCCCAGCATCCAACCCCTAACTACTACACCACCCTGTCTCTCTTATCCCATCATTTCGCCTCATCCCCAAGCTGCTCTCCAATACAGACATAGGTTTCTTTTCTCTCCCTTGATGACCTCTCGATCACCTCCAGTCCCTCAGACTCATATTCCTGGAGAAAGTTCTCCATGAAACTTGCTCTCTGGAAACAACTGTTAAGTAACCTCCCAAGTACCCCACAAATGAGTCACAGACACAACACAGCTGCGTGGTCAAATACAACAACCAAGTCACCCGGCCTCCCCGGTTCCCTCTGCCTCATCCCTGAGCCTGGCCCACACCGCCTTCTCCCTTCCCAGCCAGGAGGCTCCTCTCCCAGACCTGGCCTTGGCCCACCTGCCTTCCCGGGCAGACTCGAGGGAAGTGAGTGTTGGAGGAGCCTGAGGCCTCACAGCTCTAAGCAACTGCTTCACCTGTCAGTCTAGCACATGCCTGCCAGGTGGCTACAGGGGACAGATCAGGGGGTTTCCAGACACCACCCTGGCCAGTGCCCGGGAGATGCCTCAGTCCCACCCACCAGGAACTCCATTCCAGCCTCAGCTTGGATCTCTCCAGTGACAGAGCAGCCCTGAATTCCCACCCACTTGGAGCAGCCCTAGCCCAGGATCTCCCCTTCAGGGCCAAACACAGACAGGAACACTAAGAAGGAACCCACAGGCCATCTTCCCCTCTTTCCCTCTCTTGCTAAATTGTGAATAATAATATATTTAATTATTCTCCCATTTAAAAAGTGGTTTAATTCCTTTGAAGAATCTTGCAAGGTAGTTTGACTAGACAGCAGGCGGGGCAGTCCAGTGCCTCCGGTGGGGGCGCCAGCGTCTTCCACTTGCCTGTCTTTTGGTCCAGCAAGTAGGCGTTTGGATTGATGGTGTAGTCTTTTTCCTGAACATCACTAGCTCTGGTGACACCCCCACATACAAACACCCTGCCATCTCCAATGGAGCATATAGCATGGGACACATTCAGGGGGCAGTTGTTGGGCAAGAGAGGCAGTGACGTGGTCATCTTGTTGGCCTTTATCTTCTGCAGGTTGATTTCCATGCTCTGCCGGTGGCTGTGCACACAGAGGATGTTGTCCTGATGGAAAGAGAGCAGGGGCCGGTGGTTGAACTCAATGGGGAAGGTGATACTCTGGACCACCTCCCCAGTATTGGTGTCAAAGCAGTCCACCACCCCAACTCGGGAGATATAGCCCTTCACCAAGCACCGCCCAGTGACAATGTACAGGCTCTGGTCACTCTTCGTGATCACGGCTGTGGCATCCATAGGGATACTCATCTTCCCTGCCAGGCACCAGGTCTCCTTGCGCTCATCATAAAAATAGATGTTAGAGACATACCGCCTTGGGGCAATGCTCCCACCCACTGAGTACACTGTCCCCCCACAGGTCACCATGGTGTGGAAGACAAGCCCAATTGGCAGGTCAGGCAACTTGGTCCAGGAGTTGTCATCCACGTCATACCGCCAAGCCGTCTTCAGCCCTGTAATCTGCTCATTGGTGCCACCAGAGATGTAGATGTAGCGACCAGTAGAGGTGGCACTAAGTGCTGCTGCTCGATAGGGCATCTCTGAGAGCTTCAACCACAGGTTCTCCTGGATGACATAGGCAAACACTCCATTGTTGTACTTGCCATGGGCCTTTTGGCCACCAAGGATGACCACCGAATCAAGCAGGGCCCCTTTCCGCTGGTGACTCAGCAGGCTGGATGGCCTCTCCTGCTGTCGTTCCATAAGGACACTCTCAATCAGGGATGTGTGGCCTGAGCTGTTCTTCATGCCCATCAACTTGTTGCTGGCAAAGATCAGTGTCTTGTTGGAGACGGCATTGAGATTGATGTAAGTAAAGAACTTCTTGAAATACTTCTCCCGCTCCTCCTTCCGGAAGTACACCCAATCTATAAGTGCGCTGAGAGCCTGGTCCTCGTTGAGCACATGCAAGTTTTCATCTTGAAGCAGGCGACCAAAGATGACAGGTGGACAGCGCATGAAGCCCTTAGGCTGCACAGAGCCCTCAGGACTGGCCCAGTAGTGGAAGTTGTCGCGAATGCCAGTGTAGGCCAAGTCCGATACCTCTTTGAGCCCAAACAACTCAGCCAAGAGGAGGTAGCGCAAACAGTTGGCACGGCGGATAGACTTAATCAGGTAGTCATTGCAGTGGATTTGAAGGCGGGTTGTGTTGAAATACTGGGCCCCACGAAGGAGCTCCTCCACGTTCTGCTCCGAGATCACCACCTTGCCACTGTAGAAGTAGTCCAGGAGCTGGTCCACCGTGGCCGGACTCAGGTAGCTGGGGTCAATGGTGATAAACAGCTCATCAGTGGTCTTCACATCATTGCCAGAGATGATGTTCTTCACTACTGAAGAGACGGCAGCCAGCACAATGCGATGTGCATAAAAGACATGGTGGTCCACAGTCAGGGCCATGTCCCAGTACTCTTTGCGTTTCCTCTGTTCGTTCAGTTTCTGCAGCAGGAAGCTGTCATAGTTTTTCTCAGTGAATATCAATTTCATGGTGCTTCTTGCCAGCTTTGGCAGAAGATCAGCAGCAGGTACTGAAGAATAGAACTGAATCCTTTGGGATTCAGATTGATGGTTGTTTGAAGAGCAGTTGATCAGGGAGGAGTGAAGGGTGGGAGAGAGGATGATGTCATAGTCGATGTGGTCATCACAATGCAGGCCCTCCTGAGACTTTTCTCAGAGCCTCTGAGCATTTCTCTCCTCTGATGGCTCCAACCTGCCAAGGCCAGATATCCTATCAGGACCTAGGGCCCAGCGGCCAGAGCTCAGGAAGAAACTCAGAGATGAGTTGCAACTCCCACCTGGGACCTTCAAAGCTCGGTTCAAAGCTGCTTCTGGAATGTCAGAGACAGTTGGGGATGAGGTGGAGCAAGGAGGGATAAGGGGAGGCTGGGGGAAAGAAAGAGATTATTATTATTAGGTCATCCGGAAGAATCCTCTCATTGTACAGGAGGCAAACTGAGGCCCAGACGAGAGAAGGGACTTGCCTAAGATCACACAGCCAGTTGGAAGTAGAGCAGGACCTGGGACCCAAACCTTCTGTAACTCAGTACTCTTTCCACCCTTCCAGTAGTAGCTCCTCACTACTCAGCTTTCCCCAGTCTCTGATTCTCAGGCCAGGAAGTAGCTTTCTCTATCAAGGTTCTGGCCATCAGAGAAGAAAGGCTCCATCCTTTGGCTTCTGATCTTTGTGGCCTCAGGGACCACTCTTCTTTAAAATAGGGGGGAGGCGAGGACCACTCCGTGGAGCAGGGATGCCAGAGTCAGCATCCAGAGAGTGGGGATGGGATGGCCTCTAAAGCCCTGATTACATCAGTTTCCAGGCAAACCAGGACGTCCTCTGCACATTTCCAAAGCTCTAGTTGTAAAAGGTTGGGGGCTGCGGTGGGTCAGCTCTCCCCACCAAGTGTGGACTTGGACACATTGCCCAGACTCTCTAAACCTCAGTTTCCTCAGGTGTGAGAGAGGAATAACAGTACCTGCTTCATAGGTTGTTAAAAGTGTACATGGGAAAACGACCAGAGTGTTATCACAGTGTTTGGCTCATAGCAAATGTTCAATAAACGCTAGCTGTGTTATTCTTGTTAGTGTCCTCGAGTGAATTTGGGCTCCTAGCGCCCCTGTGGACAGCAGCGTGGAACCCTGCCCAGTCTTTTTTGCATCATCCTCTCCCCTCCTGGTGCTATATCAGACAGTGCTCTGCTGTTATCCACAGGGTTTTCATGGCCACTTTTTTCAGAATTGGGTGGCCAGTCCTTCTTCCTAATCTATCTTAGTCTGGAAGTTCTGCTGAAACCTGTCCACCATGGGTGATCCTGCTGGTATTTGAAATTCTGATGTCATAGCTTTCAGCATCACAGCAACATGCAGCCGCCACAGGATGACAACAGATAGACGGGTGGTGTATTTCCCTGAGCAGGAAATGGACCCAGGCTGTGACGGTGAAAGCGCCAAATCTTAACCCCGAGACCACCAGGGCTAGCTGCGTCCCACAGTTTGAAAAACATTGCCTGAGTATCTGAGTTGTAGACTTCACTCTCTGGTGAGAATCCATCCAATGTTCTTACTACAAAGTTAGGATAATCAATCTCATATCAAAAACAAAAAACAAAGAAACCTCGCCAAGACTCACTCTCTTTCCTCCGACAATACAAGACTTCTGAAGGTCTATGCAGTGCATGTCCATGCAGTTTTCCAAGAGTCCACTTTGTCCACATGAGCAAATTTTATAGCAACCAACTTCCCCTGCAGATGATGGCACCTGGATCAGTGTCCCTTGACGCACGATAAAATCAGAGGTTTCTCCCAATTTGCAACCTGCACAAACAGAAATTACCTGAGAGACATGATACTATTTTACGACATTAAATATACCTCACATAAGTTTTACAGGTTCTGTGTGGCTACTAGAGGTTATGAAACAGAATTTTCACCTAACTAAGGAGTCGCTTTGGTTCAGTGGTCAGTAACATATCCTCTGAAGTGAAAATTCCATGTTCTATGAGATGGTGGTGATTCTGGACCTGTACTCCAAAGTTAGCTCCAGTTCAGTATAAAATGCTATAAGATATGTGGTTTTTTCTTTCTTCTGGTTTACTTAAGATATTTAAAAATTACAGATATTTTTTAAATGGTGTATTGAAACTGACTGTATTTTTAGAGTAATCTTGGTCAGGAAAACTTTTAGTGATAGAATATAAACATCTTAAATTTGAAGAAAACTTGAATACCAGATTGGACTTAAGGAAAATCCATTCATTTCTGATTTTTAACAAGATTTATTATGACTCTATGGCTGATATGGTATTACACAAATATTACAGGTGATCCTTTGAGAAATAATAATTTAATCTTTAGTTCCTTTTTACCCCACATATATTTTAAAATGTTGATTCTAACATGATAAAGAAATATTTTCAATTGGGAAATAGATAAAAGGCAGCAAAATTTTGTCATGACTATATTCTAAAGGGACCCACAAAGAGATAAACATTACCAAAATTCTATGGGATAAAAACTTTTCAGCCTTTAATCATATGCATTTCAGCACAACGTTCATCTCTGTGGAGAGAATTACACCCCCTGCTGAGCAGGCCCTTTCTCCACATACTAAAGGAAAGAAAAGAAAAACCAAGAACAATGTGCAGTACATTTTCTCAAACACTACAACCTGGAAGACAAAGTACAAAAAGCTGCCCCAAGGCTTTCTTTTCTTTTGTTGTCAAGAGCCCTGCAACTCATTTAGAGAGTCTGTTTTGGGATTGATATTAGTTTATAATCTAAATGACTACTGAAACTTACATTTGTCTTTGTCTTTTTCTGCTTACATAAACAATACATGCTTATTGGGAAAACCTCAAACATTACAGGAAAACATACATGAAAATAAACTGCCTTGCAATCCCAATCCAAAGATCACCCCCGTAAAGAAACACGAGCAGCACACATCCGTGCTCATCCCACACCCGCACCATCTACCTCTTACCCTGAGCACAAGAGTATGGAAGGCAGGGATCTCCGGCCGGACACCCTTTCCGGTTCACCTCGCAGAGCTCATTGGTGGGGCAGGGACTTGGGCTACAAAGGTGAGTCACCTCTTCCACAATGGTACCTAAAGTACTTGGCCCTGAAAAAACAAAACCAGATCAGCTTAAACAACCCAAAAGAGTACCAGAGGTCTGTAAGTCATCTGAATTAATCACATCTGGAGTAAATGGAGAGCTCATGAGCATAAAGCGAGGCCTGATTCTAGTAAGACGGAAACACTCCGACTCTCTGATCATTTGTGAATTTAGCATAAACATACACACATTCACCCACTTGTTCATTTATTGGGAACCTACAATACGCTGGGCAAGGTTCCAGGTACTGGAGAGACAGTAGTGAACAAAACAGACAAATCTCTAACACGGAGTTTACATTCTGGTCGGAAAATGGACAATAAAAGTCAGACAATGATAAGTAGTAAGTAGTATACAGGGATAGAAGGTGACAGGTATATTTTGGATAGGATTGTCAAAGGGGTGCTTCTGTGTAAGAGGGCCAATTTAGCAAATTTTACCACAAATGATCATCATTTATTACAGTAAGATGGATCCTGTCCCATGATTATATTTGTTAACTTGTGAAATAAGGACCAAGGATGGGTCTCACTTAATAGAAAGCACATGTGATATCTAAAGAGCGTACTGAAACTCAAACAAAAGCATTTCTTTAGTTTTTCTTCCATTGAAGTGGTTTCCTTCCACACATATATTTGATGGCTCTGATAGAGTCTAGGATTGTGAATACATTAGCTTTGCTTACTTGGTTTTAGGCCAGACTCAGACTCCAAGGCTAATAGAGGAATAAGGGTTCTTGGAGGTCATCTCATCCAGCCCAGTCATTTTATAAAGAGGGAAGCTAAGGCTCAAAGAAGTGGTCTGCTCAAAGTCACAGAGGTCTATATTCTAGTCTCGTGCTCTCTTTTTCTCCATACTGGTCACAAAGGCTAAGGGACATAGTCTGTTGGTCTTGAGAAAATACGGCAGACACTACTAGCTGCAAATCTGGCATCTGCTCTTCCCTTCCTGCTTACTAATAGAACTCCAGTTTTACTTAGGGTGGCAATGGGCCCACAGCTAAAAAGATCATCTTTCCCAGTTTCCCTTCCAACTAGGGTGGTTTTCCCTCACACTAGGATACAGTGGCTAGAATTCCAGTAGCCATGCCACAATAATAAAGCACACGCGGTAACCGTGATGATGATGAAGCCCAGTACCAAGGACGTGGAGAAAGAAGGAGCCCGGATTCCTGATGACGGAGCCACCACGGCATCCCTGGACTATTTAGTTCTGGGCTTTTTCTCACTTCTAACTGTTGTTCTGTTATTTGCAGTCTGACTTAACCCTATCTGACAAAGGAAGACAAAGCAAGTAGGGGCTGAATTCACCGTCTGGCTTTCCAGCCTGCTCACAGCACTAATGGCCCCTGGTGGCAGCCTAGTCACTGCCCTTGGCCTAACTGCGTGGTGTGTAGAGGTTCTGCTTGTTACCCCCTGGTTTCCACACAACCACCTCGCTGCCAGAAGGCTCAGCTTCAGGATGCCTCAGTGAGATCCCAGCTTATTCTTCCAGCTCTTGGCAGGAGTATTTGACAGAGAGAAGTTCCAGTTCATGTGCTAACCCAGACCATCATTCCTTACTCCCTACTTGGTGGTAAGTCCAAGCCAATGCCTCGCTCAGGTCCGCTGATGTTCTGATGACAAAAAGCTGAAGACTCCCTGGGGAGCTTCTACTTCCTGGTCAAATCGTGGCAAGGAGACAGCAATGATATGAGCTGGTTATCTGAGAACGCTGGCCCTGGCACACTGCTTAGAATTCCTGACTGACAACAGTCGACTGCCTCCTCAGACTAATATGATAATCACTCCTGCTTACATATCTGAAGATGGTAATTCTTTCCTGGGCCAAAAAAGCCAAGCAACTAAGAGCGTGCAATTGAGACAGTATCCTTAGACCACATGTTCTCAAAGAGAGATGCTCAACCAGGCAAACAAGAAGGGCAGAGATGGAAGGGAGGGGCATTTAAAATCCAAAAACACAAAGTCCTTACTGAGGTAGGTATCCAAAGGTATACAACTCTCCAGGTCATCTGTGGGTGACAGAAGCTCACAGATACTTTCAGCTGTGTGGTCTTCGGGGAATTTGTTCTGGTCCCCGCATTTCTTGAGAATCTCCATGCAATCTGATTTTGAAAAGAAAAATACTCACAAATTTAGGGTTCGAGACACCTCCTCATGTTGTCTAGTCAATATCAATTCTGTTTCTGGACTTTTCAGAAAGTGACTTTTCATAACTTAATGTTTCACAAGTGGTTAGGTGCAAGAATAGCAAAAGAGAACAGAAGTCATAGGGGACCTCCGGCTAGATAGTAAATAACGTATTATGTTACCAAAACATCCCTAACTTTCTCTTACCTGAGGTCCAAAGGCCTTGTTCAAATTTTGTACCCATCCTTACTGGTGCTACCATCAAGGTGGCTCTTCACTGTCTTTGAAAGGAATTGAACTAGGCTGGTCTGATCTGCTCTTTGCAAAATCACATTTCCTTTCTTTCAGGACCTTATCCACACTTGCTTCTTCCTCCTTCCCTCCCTCCCTTCCTTTCTCTTTTTAAATATCTTTTTAGTTATCAACATTAAAGTGTGTGGCCCAAACAATTGGAAAGTCCACTACTTTAAAATTTTCTCAGTCTTCAGTAGGGCTTTGACTCCTCTTCTGTAAGTTCTGTGAGCTAAGAGTCTATAAATTTCCCATGCGCCATCCCTTGTTTGTCACACAATAGTTACCCTTCCACTCTCCCTTAGTCAGGTCATCTCCAAGTCATGTCAGAGAATAGAGGTGGAGCCTGTTTAAGGTTGAAATAATCTGAAATCAGTCATCAAGTGCCCAGAAGCACTGAGCCACACACCAACTTAGGAGCTGGATATTAATTTGTTATTAGAAAAGCTTTTTGGAAAAAAAGATGGTTAAAGAGCAGTTGACACAGATTACTATGTAGTTGATGCTTTTGGTTTCACCCACCATAGCAGCTTTCATCTTTACTTTATCCTAGGTCTCTTAAGAAAGCCATTCACAAAATGATTGCCAGGAACAGGCCCTAAGGACTATATTCACTACCTCCTTCACGCGTCAAACACTTACAGAATACCTCCGTGTGTCAGGATTATGCCAATCCCTGAAGAGGAGAAAAAGAGGAAGGAGGACACAAGGAAAAAAGGCACAAAGAAGAATACGCTCCTCAAGGAGAGCAAAGTCTAACAGAATATAAGACAAGTACACAAATTAAAATATAAAAACAGAATTATGCATTGAAAATACTCAATAAATGTTTCTTGAACTAAGTTCCATAAGAGAAGTACAAACAAAGGTGTATGGAAATTTGTAGTGAGGATAAATTACCATCAGCTGGAGCAGTCGGGGAAGATTCCGTAGGAATGACCGGTATTTGAGAGGGCTAAGAAGGACAGGCAGTGGGCAAGTGGAGATGGGGGGAAGAGCATTTCAAGCAGAGGAGGAAAAAGTGGGAAAGAATTTGACATGTGGGGGCAATGGGCAAAGGGAAGTGGTGGGAGAGAAAACTGTGAAGGTAGGCTGTGGGTGGAGATCATGGAGGGTCTGAACCAAAACCGGAGAGTCACTATGATGAAAGAAACTTACTTGCAAATAATACTTCCCCGGGATTTACTGTGACAGGGTTTAATCTGCAGTGAACAAGCTATTGCTTTCCACATTTCTGGCTGGCACTTTTTAATGTCAAGAACAGGTACAGTGATAAATGGCATCTTTATGCTTCCTTTTTCCCACAGCTTCATGTCATTCGTGGCTCCTTGATCTGACTGAGCATAACTCCAGAAAAGTTCTGTTGGCCTAAAGAGAATACAGGCCAGAAGGAATCAACAGGCAATCATTTTCTAGAGAGAAGCAATGTGCAAAACCCTAACATACTAATGCATCAGGAAAATCTGATTTTCTTAAAGGAGAAAGAACATAATCCTATCTGTAGGGGCATTAGCTGGCATGCTCCTTTACAGACAAGGTGTCCTTGAGGCTCCCTGTCTGGGCTACACACAAGCACTCACGATGATAACAGTCCTGGGCTTGGCCAACCCAGCTGCTTTCTCATGGGAGAGTTAGCACCAAGACCCTCAAAGTCTGAGGGAACACGAAGGCCCTCCAGGGGTCTCTGGACCTTGGAATGCAGGTCAGATAGGGATGATCCCCCTTGGCAAGCACACAGCCTTTTTTTCCTCTGCCTACTTAAGCGAACTTCTCTGGCAGCAGGTGCACATTGCCTGTCCAGCTGGTCGCCACTGGACCTTCCCTGGAAGTAACTCCTAATAAACTCATATGTCTGATTTGCTGTCTCCGAGTCTTTTCTTTGGTCTCTTGGCAACCTATCCCACACTGCTCACCCAGCTGGGTGTGTAGCAGAACACTTGGCGAGCCAGCCAGGAAACCAGAGTAAACCACATGAGCACAGACACTATGGGGGATGGGAAAGGAAATCTGTGGTAGTAATCCTGGGTTGGCTGGTGTCCTCCCTGTGGGGACCAGTCGCCACCACCCTTGATGGATGGGGTCCACTGTGTGAGTCTGGGGGTACCACCAAAACGCCAAAGAGCCTAGGGGAAAGTCCTGGGCATGAGAGAAGCCCAGGCCACTCCTACAGCTGTGGAGTAGCCCCTCTCCACCAGAAGATGGCTTGCAATGAAGGCAGGAGAAGTCCTGGGTGTGATAAATGCTGACAGAAAGAAATCAGAAGCCTGGGCGGTAGCTGCTACAGTGGGATGGCCCCTCCTTGCTGCTGTTTGCTTAGCAACAAAAGCCAAAATGGAAGCTAAGGCAAAGGTGAGACAGCTACAAGAGAAATTAAAATTAGAAAGGAAAACACGGCTGGTTCAAGCCAAAACTACTGAGGCTCTGTCAACACACCTCTGGGAATCTGGTGAGAAGATAGAGGTCTGAGCAACCCCAACCCAAAGGGGTGGATCCCAGAGACCTGCCTCCACCTGTTGGGCACATGCACCCACCATGAGGGATTACACTGCCGCAGAACTGGTGGAATTGGGGAACAGGTAAACTAAATAGATGTGAAAGGGATGGAAATTTGGGGGGGGGGACTTTTTAACAGTAATTATGTGTTGTGATGTAGGTACTTAAAATAACCCAAGATGAAGGCTAATTGCTTTAATGTCACATGAAGTTTTTGTGTGAAATCTAAACATAATTTTTGGGAACAAATGATTTAAATAAAAATGGGTAAGAGTTTTCAGGTACAATAATTATGTCATATGGTATAAACGCTTGAAAAACAGCTTCCAAAATCTTTTTGGTAACTTGAAACCTCAAAGTTTTGCTAAATTAAGTTAAATGATAAAAAATTCATTGAGTATCTAGGTCATTTTCCAAACAAGATAAAATATTAAAAATTGATAACTAAGCATGGATTTGTCTGCCTTTGGTTACTTATCTCCAAGAAAATAAAAGATGCTTGAGTTTATTGATAAACACATTTTGTACCTGCTGAGAAATTTTCTATGAGAAAACACATATTTCTAAAAAGTCTCTATACAAGGAAAATAAAATGTATGTTTTCAGTTAGAAAGGTATAAAAATAGAGATATTTGTCTTTGTTCTGTTAAAAAAGATAAATTTGTCCTAAAGTATTAAAAAGAAAAAAAAAGACATCGTACAAATTCTAAATGTAAAACGTAAATGACATAAAGTTTGCAAAAGTAAAACTTTGAGGAGTTGTGTGTATGGTCAAGTTGGCTGAGATTAAAATAAATAAGTTTCAATATCAAAAGTAACGATAGTCACAAAAACAGCCACTGGCTCCAGTGTGTGCACAGGAGCTAGGGCACGCCAAGAGTGCATCCCGCTGGGGACAAAAAGTGCCTGCAGGGGCAGGGAAATGCAGTAAATGCAGGGTCCAGCCACCCTGCACCTGCAGGAGCAGCAGGTGGCCAGGACTCCTCCCCTGCCCCTGCCTCCTCTCTGGCGACATGACTGAGGCTGAGCAAAGCACAGAGACAGCAGTCTGCACAGTGACTGTCGCAGCCCACGGAGCAGCAAGCACCCTCTGAGAAAAAAGAAAAAAGTCATAAACAAGCAAACGCTGTTCTGGTGGCTTTAACAGTGCCCACAGTGACAGCCTGGGAACGCCCTAGCCCCCTCGACTGGATGGAGGGCCAAAGGACCTTGACCCGTCCCTGCAGCGCCGTTCAGGTAGCTTAGGTTTTGGGCGACCAGGGGTCACAAGTGGAAATAACAATGTATTGGTCTACAGGAGCAGAAAGCATTTTGTTGTCAGAGGTGAAAATGAGCAAAATGACTTCCATCGCTTCTCACCTCACTCTGCGGCCGTGCTTCTGGAACACTGCCCAGTGGACAAAACCTCCTGAGGTTGCCTTGTTTCATTATATTGATGGTGTATTAACCTCTAAGTCTTTTCCAGACCTTCAAGAAGCCTCCTTCTCCCTCGCTGCCCACCTATGCCAACGAGGATGGGTAGTAAACAAGAATAAAGTACAAGGGTCTAGGTTATCTGTCAAATACTTGGTGTTATCTGGTCGGGTAAGACAAAAGCAGTTCCTGCTACTGTTATAGATAAGACACTCTTTAAAAGTTGGTGCCAAAGGGAATCATCTGGGACTGGGGGACCACCGAGCAGGGGGCCTTCACTCAACCCGAAGCAGCAGTGAAACAAATCCAGTCCGTGGGTGTTCTAACACAAAGAAAAACGTGTGGACTGGATGTCTCCAGTCACCCAGTGGGGTTTGGATGGGGTCTCTGGCAGAGGCAAAGCAATAAACCAGTGCCCCTCGGCTCTGGTCCCAATTGTGGAAAGGGGCTCCCCCTGCGGATGGCACAATAAATATGACAAAAGTGAGCTATTAAAGGTCACCCCTTGTGGGGGCAGAACTCTAGGATGGTATGTGGCAGCAGGTCTAGGGAATGACAATAACAGTGTATGGTGTGTTTGCACATCAGCCGACAATGCCGCCAGGAAACCAACAAACAGAAGAGTTTCCATCTCCTGGAAAAAGTGCCAACCAAAAGTGGCTACATAAGAAGAATGGACACAAAGGACAAAGGACCCAATGGGCTATTGCCAAGGACTGGGGCCTCCTCTTGCACTATAATAGGGTGCAGATCTGTCGGGTGTACCCTTCTTATTCCTTACAGAGACAGAGACCCTGGGCCATTCCTCAGGACACAGGCCAAATTGCCAGAAGCAACCAGCCTGCTCAATGCTGGCAGATGAACTACATCAGGCCCTTGCCTCTTTCTGATGGCTGTCGGCATGCCCTTACTAGTGTGGACACATCTACAGGACTGCTACAGACATATCCCAGCAGGAGAGCCACACAGAAGACCACCATGAGAGGCCTGGGACACCTCTGTGCTGCCTATGGTGTTCCCATGAACATTGACAGTGACCAAGGTACACGTTTTACTGGCCACCAGGTATAGAAGTGGGCTGATCAAATGGGCATACATTAACATTTTCACCTGCAATACAATCCCACAGCCACAGGGCTAGTGGAATGAATGAATGACTTGCTGAAATAACAATTGGGGACAGAAAACAGGACCCTAGCCCACTGGACAAGACACCTGACGACTACAATATGTGAACTGAATAAACATAAGATACACCCAACCCAGTCCATATCAGATGTTGACACAAGGACCTGATATGATGGTATGTCTACAGATAAAAGCAATAAAAAAAAAAAAACTACAACCAAAGCTGGGCACTCAGAACAACTTGCTTTTGCCTCTGCCACAGAACTCCCTACTGGGGCCCAGATGGTCACTTGGCCCTGGGACCGGCAGGCAGGGCTCCACTGGTATAGTCTCTTAACCCCTTTGAGGACAGGCTTAAAACAAGATATCATGGTAACACCTCTAATTCCCCAAGGCACTTTCATCCTTTCCCTCTGGTGTGCCTTGTTGGATAGTCATGACCTCCCTGTTCTAGTCCCCTCTAAACATCTTCCTTTTCATCCTTAGGACAATGTCTGCCAACCTTTCCACTGCATGGACACACACTGGTGCTGACATACAAAACCGTTCCACCTGCTGGGTATGCAGCAAGCTGCTTGCCTTCAACCACAGGGTTACCATGGCATCTCCAAGCTGCCAACGCCTCTGACTGGAGAGCCCCATGAGAATGGAGGAATGCCGCCCACTTTCCCATTCCTACTCCCTTCCACTTGCAACATGTTTTCTTTGGTGTCCTTGCCTTTTTAATACTTTTATTTTCATGTCGTGCTCTTGGTTGCTGTTGTAGTTTCTGGCTACAGTGCTCCTCCAGGTCAAGGGAAACCATGGAACACTGGCATGATAAGATTGTAAGGGCCATTTGGACACACAGGGGGTAAAGTGTAGGGGCATTAGCTGGCATGCCCCTTTGAAAACCATGTGTACTTGAGGCTCCTTGTCTGGGCTACACACCAGCACTCATGATGATAACAGTCCTGGGCTTGGCCAACCCAACTGCTTTCTCATGGGAGAGTTAGCAACAAGACCCTCATGGTCTGAGGGAACATGGAGGCCCTCTGGGGTGGGTGGGGCTCGGGTCCTTGGAATACAGGTCATACAAGGACAGTCCCCCATGGCAAGCACGCAGCTTTTGTTCCTTTGCCTACTTAAGCAAGCTTCTCTCAGGGGGTGGTAGCGGGTGCATGTTGCTGTCCAGCCAGCCATCAATGGACCTTCCCTGTAAGTAACTCCTAATAAACCCATATGTCTTGTTCACCATCTCCAGGTCTTCTCTTTGGTCTCTTGGAAACCTATTTTACACTGCTCACACAGCTGGGCATGTGGCGGAACACCATCAAAGGAAATTGGCTTTGAAT